TTAAATTCCAGACAAAATTTCAAGATCTGAGAAATCAGATGTGTCGTGAAGTGATGCATTTCATACCAATCACAAATTCAGCACTTTCATACCCAGAACTGAACTCAGCTGAAAGGCAATGCTTGTGAAGTAGGGAGTGCAGTAAACTAAGTAATTAGCCTAAGGAAGACTGAATCATGGGAAGGTAAAAGACTGTCTGAAAGGATCTGTTTTCATGGGAAGGCAGAGCAGAGGAGCATTGAGAACAGCTCCCCGTTCCTCTGTAGTGCTCAGACCACATGAGCTCTGTGATCTGTTAGCTGCTTGAAAATTGTATATTATGTTCTTATTCTGTGTTGATCAATTTTATTTATTGTTATATTTCATGTTTGATAACTGGAAATAAAAAATGACTGAGAAAATTTTTTTTGGCTTTAACCAAACCTCTGAAAGAGAGTCGTGTATGTAAGTCTGAGAGAGATTGATTCTAATACACATAACTCAAGGCCTCAATATTTCTTAAAAGTCCAGGTCCTTTCTAACACCTGATACAATGTGCTAGTTTATGCTGGGATAGAGTTACTTTTCTTCGTAGTAGCTAGTATGAGTCTGTATTTTGGATTTGTGCTGAGAACAGGGTGTTGATAACACACTGATGTTTTAGTTGTTGCCAAGCAATGCTTACCTTAAGCCAGGGGTTTTTTCAGCTTCTCATACTGCCCCTGCCCAGGATATAAGCTAGGGGAAATAGACCAGGGGCAGCTGCTGCTTGGGGACTGGCTGGGCATCAGTCAGCAGGTAGTGAGTGGTTGCATCACTTGTTTTTCTTGGAGTTTGTCTCTTTTTTTTGTTGTTGTTTTCCTTTCATTACAATTTATTATTAGTAGCAGTAGTATTAGTGTTATTAGCATTAATTTTTATTTTATTTCACTCATTAAACTGTTCTTATCTCAACCCATAAGTTTTCTTACCTTTTTCCTCCAATTCTCTCCCCCATCCCACTGAGTGTGGGGGTACGCAACCAGCTGCATGGTTATTATAGTCAGCTGAGGTTAAACTACAACATACAAACAAAAATCTTGATGAAAATTAAGGTGGAGGCTGTTTTACCATTACTGACTTACAGTGGCCAAAACAGAAACTGTGAAAAATTAAGAGCCTGGAGCTGCAACAACCATAGCAAAGCAATTATAATGTAATGTGGGAAGGTAAGGCCTTGGTAATTCCCTTGATGTCTATGCAACTGTAATGGCCTCCTTGGTCTCAAAGATCATAAATAATAAGGATGAAAAATATCTCTTTGCAATAATAGACTTTTGTTTCCTAATTTTCATAGAGACACCAAACAATTGCTCAGAATTTTTTCTACATTTTTCTGCTAGTTGCTGCAGGCATGTCACTTGCTAGTGTAACAATAACTCAAAGAGCAGGATGTTGTACAAAGCATTAGTAGATCAGGATTTCATTGGAAATATGAAACAATCACATGACTTGCAAGGAACATTCAATACTTGTACAGATTGCACCTACTAAATGGAGTTAATGTAAGTTGAAAACATAAGATCCAAAAGACAATATTAACCCTTAGGTGTGTTCATACGTACTGTATTAGTTTAAAGGCAAGAATAATTTAATCCTGTTTTAGGTTGCATTTTTTCAGAGCTACAAAAAGCAAACGTTTAATAGCATATGACAATTCAACACAATGATTTTCAGGAAAAAAAGTCTTACACAAAAGCAAAAAGAAGTCTTACACAAAACCGGAAAAAAGCTTTTTTATATAATTGAATCACAAAACCTGTCAGCAAGTATGTGCAGTCAACAGACGCCAGAGATTTTAAAGGAACACCTCAGGAGTATAAGGCTGCATCATAAAACCTAAATGAACTATTTTCAGTAGTGTTCACTACAAGGGAACTTAGGGAAGTTCCCCTAATGAGACTGAAATTCTCATAACTGAAGTTTCAATAGAATAAATTTTGGAAGAAATATTGATAGTACAAATGCTAACAAATCCCCAAGGCCAAATTCATATACAGAAGGAAGCGGGATGTATCATTTTCCTTCGCTGACCCTCACACGTAGAAGGAGTGTAGGAAGAAATTATGCTTTTTTTTTTAAAAAGGGGACTCCAAGGAACATCTGATTTAAAGGCAGTAAGTCTGACTTTTCTGTCAAGTGTTTTGATAAAAAATACATAGAAAAATATGATTAGTAGAATTGTATTTATCACATTACCATACAGCAATCTTACCATGCAGTCATATGCCATGAACCCAGCTTTTGAAGAGGGAAGACATGCTTCAATCTGTATACAACTTTCCTGAAGAGTCATGGAGAATATGAATAGGAATGGTCAAAGTAACACTGTGTACTTTCATTTCAAATAGCTCTTGACAAGGTCACTCATCAAAGGCTGTCAAGGAAATTATATTCTCAGAGAGGCTGAAAGACCACCCTATTTTGAATTAACAACAGATTAAAAAAATCCACCTTTTGTAGGAGTATCTGATCAGTTTGAAGAACTGGGACATTGTCAGTGAAGCCACAGAATACTTTTATGGGACTTCATGATTCAACACATAAACAATCAGGAAAGAAAATTAACACAGAGGTAGAAAAGCTTGTTGATATAAAATTATTAAAGATAGTTAAAATTAAAACTAACTGTGAAGAGCTGTAACAGCATATCATGATAACAGAGTGGATAGTTGATAAATAAGGTCAACCAGTACAAAACCTAAATGTAAAAATGTAATACCTTGATTGGATAATATGGGTGCCATTGTGGATGAACACGAACTCAAGTGGAAAAAGGCATATGGAACTGGATCATGAGAAAAGCAATAAAGAACAAACAAACAACAACAACAACAAAAGTGCAAAAACACTGTGATAGGAAGATCTACAGCTTCAATAATGCTGTGCTGTTCTCATCTTCACATCTCAAAATGATAGAATGGAATTTGAAACTGCAACATGGGTACTAGGAGTGATCGCAAGTTTATTAAAGATTCATTGTAAGGAAGGATTAATAGTCTGGGATTCTTTAGTCTGTAAAAGACAGAGCTAAAAGGGGATATGAGAGATATCTTATAAAAAAATGAATGAATCAACTGAAATTAATCAGAAACTGCTATTCATAATCACAAAAAAAAGGCAGAAAACTGTAAAAGAAGTCACTAGGAATGTAATTAAATGATGAAATTTATTGACACAGTACAAACTATTGGGAATATGTTTTTTATGACAGATTAGGCTAGGAATTATTTCAAAGTAGGCTAGGGAAAATTTTAATTGACTACTATTTGGTTGATGTGCTGAGTTTATTTATATACCCAGGATACAAAGGTTCATTTCCTTTTTTCTACAAAAACATGCCTTTTAAGCTTTAATGACAGAACTGGTTCAGTATTTGCATTTTCATACAAGTGGAAGCATTTCTCCGAAAGTTCACAAAACAATGTGAAAACATTGATTTAGTAATGTTTTTGAGGAGAAATGGGTCACTGTTGCTAGTATGTGTAATACTCGCATGATTATGTTTTTTAAAAAGAAATCTACTGCTACTTATAAAGCCATGTTATTTATGGAGTTACATTATTTGAATTAATAGTGTTTTATGCTTTCTAATTCGTTTGTTAGATTCACATATCAAACACATTTAGACTTTCTAACTAAACGTAAGCCCCCAAAGACTTTTCTAAATGCATGTTTAGACTTTCTCCCAAAACAAACCCACAGGAGCCTGTGAGACAACAGAAGGAAGCGAGCCCAGACCCACTGGAAACTCCCAAGTCCCATGAGGAACATTTGAAGGGCTAGAAGTATATGTTTTACCATTTCAGCCTTATATGTTATGTTTTGCCTTAATAAGTTGTGGGTTGTTTTTTCTGTCTATCTCTGCCAGCTGGTTTCTCAGCTGCAAATCTAATATTCCCCTACTTCCATGTTCCTCCTTCTGATCCTTTCTTTTCTTTTTCTTGCATAAGATATCTCTTTTCTCTGCTTTCTTTTCCTCTCTTCTTCCTATTTGCTTGCTATAAAATTCTTTGGAGACTCTTGACCAATTTTTATATATTTAGTCTAGGCTTGTCTTATTGCTACTATGTCCACAAGTCAGATTTTATTCCATTTTCTTCATCTAAAAATATGAACAATTCTTACTTTGTTTAATATAACTTTAGTTCCTGAGTACCGCTTCCCCTAGTAGCCCATCTTGTTTCTAACCAAACACATCTGTTAGAGTCATATTTTTTTCCTGCCATGCTATGACATTTCCTCTAAGTAGCATAAAATACAAACATCTCACCTTGCCTTATAAAACCTGTCTCACTTCCCTTCTCATTTCTCATTTCCTAAACTCTTGTGATTCTACAAAGCTGTCAGTCACTCCACAGCAAATTCCAGATAACTCTGTTGATCTCAATGTTTACATTTTTCACATTTCTGAATGTTTTTCTAGTTGTATTTTATAGTACTAAGCGTGTCGTCCTGACAAAATTAATCATCTCCCAAATTAAAAGGGTCACTGAAAATGAAATAACTGAACTTTGTGTGTCTCTGCATATCTGTGTTTGTATCTGCATACACAAATGCTCTTACATCGAGTTTTTCTTGCTGAGCTTAGAAGGTCCTCTGTAGAACACAGCATGATATGTTGATTTATTTGTCATAATTTTCACTGCACTGCTAAGAAAAGCTTTGCTCTATCAAAATTCTCACCCATCTAAAACTGATTGCCTGCTTTAATCTTTCAGAATGTAAATATTAACCCCATGTTTGAGAAAATAAATCCTTTTTCTTAAGCTCACTGTTGTGCTGTTGGTAACCCTGAACACTATTTTAGAATATGTACACGGCCTGAGCAGAGCACATCAGATCAAACGAAGCTTCCTCCATCAATTACTAGCTTTACTGCTGGGCAGGTTCAAAAAGCAAGCCACAGGGTTTTTCTGTGACAATCTCAGCAAACGGAAACTTGATGCTATTTCATATTTTAAGCATTCTTTATTTTCTAGGTGTGATGGGGGAATATGAACCAAAAATTGAAGTCCATTTTCCTTACACAGTTACAGCTGCAAGGGGAACCACTGTTAAAATGGAGTGTTTTGCACTTGGCAAGTAAGTACAGATTCTTTCATAATTAGACATCATTGCTTATTAAGACGTGACATGCCTAATTTGTTGTTTCATTATTTTGTTGGATTTCATTTTCGCAGACAGTCCTTACTGCACACTCAAAGTAACCAATTGACTAAGTAGCCAATTATGAATTCCCTGCCCAGCCATTCCTGTGGACAGTAATTCACTCAATTTAAAAGCCTCTCTGTCAAAATGGGAAGTAACATTCTTGTAAACAGAAAGAGGAAAGGGGTTTTTTTGAAAATTTAGTCAGACTCACGCATTTATTCACTGCAATACTATAAATCAGTAAATTAGATTTTATTCTGCCAAAATTTCGTAGTTGGAGAATAAACAATATTAGAAGCTTTTTTTTCCCCCAAATGCATAATTTATGTATGAAGCTAAGAGCAGAATGTTTTAAACATGTCCTAACACATTTTGTGGCAGTGCCAATTCTCTAATTTCTACCAGACCTAGTAGCACTACTAGAGAACAGGTGTTTAATATTCATGTCAAGGGGGTTTTTATATGTTTATTGATAAATGAGTTTAGGGAGAGAAAGGCTTTAAAAATACCATTTTACTATTTCATACAAATTTAAGAAAAAGTGAAATTACTTCTATACACTATTCAGATTACAGAATATAGGATTAAATTGATAGGACTTCAATTTTGTTGTGGCAGTTACTATAATTACTGTTGCCAAGAATAAGGGTGGCAAGGGTAGTATACAGTCAGACAGAACTAAGAAGCAGTTGTAGTGATTCAAAGAAATTATTCTTTCTTCTGTACATTTATGTAGCTAAAACCAGGTGTTCCATCAGTGATATTTCCCTAGAGACATATAAAGAAATTCAGAGTGTAGGTTGTTTTCAAAAATACCCTATCACATTCTGTGATTCTGTGTGTGTTGAAAGAAATCTCACTGCCTTTAATTCCTTTCATTTCCTTTTTATAGTGGTGTTCCTTTTGGACATGTCCCCCCCACCTTCCGAAGTCGGGCTGCTCAATATCATATATTCTGCTTGTTTTTCTAGTTCATAGCTTGTCAAGGCACACACAGGTTCCTTACAGCCTGGCTTTGATTAAGAAATAGGGGAAGGATTTGTGACTCTTGCAGAGGAACTTCACAAATCAGTTAGTTTGAGGGGTACGGTATCCTCCATACCATTTTTTCTTACTTATTTACCCAAGTAGGAGAAAAACATAAGAGGAAAGGAATTTTAAAGCAATATTTTCCTGAGGATCACCACTCCAACTTGCTCAGCAGGTCTGGTTTTTCAGAACAACCTTTCAAAGCCTGTCTCTACTACCTGAGAAGGCTTTTAAAATGTTTTTTTTGACCTTCATGTGTCCCTGGTCACTGTATTTTTTCTTCAGATTTCCTTTCAAAGCCTGTCTCTACTACCTGAGAGGGCTTTTAAAATGTCTTTATAGTCATTTTGACCTTCATGTGTTACTGGTCACTGGATTTTTTCTTCAGATTGTTGTCTTAACAGTTCCTATTTACTGTCTGGATGAGATATGTCTTAAACTTGCTTCCCTTCTTGCCTGTTTTTCCTGTTTGACCAACATCCAGATACTCTCAGGTAGCTGGTCATAAAAAATTACAGAGGAATTCCGGCAAAATATTTTAATTGTATCTGTTTAGAACATCCAGATACTCTCAGGTAGCTGGTCAATAGAAAGTATGCATAAAAAATTACAGAGGAATTCTGGCAAAATACTTTAATTGTATCTATTTAAGCCCAGTGAAGTTGAAGGAGAGGCAGGACACAGCCAAACCAGTCCAAACAAAATGTGGGGGACCATTGCCCACATACAGGAGCCACTAGACAGCACAGCCAAACCAGTCCAAACAAAATGTGGGAGACCATTGCCCACATACAGGGAGCCATTAGACAGTGACAGCGGCTTTTGCAAATTCATTCCCCACATAAATGTAAGCAGTAGTTGAGAAAGCAGACGTGAGGGGAGAACTTCTGTAGGGGGAAACAGAAGTTTTGTGTTTTATATAGTAAACATAAGGAAAGAGGTATGTGAGAGTACAGAAAAGTAATAAATGGATAAATTCTCTGAAATGCTGAAATAAAAGAGCAAAACAGCTGTTCTGTAGAGGCTGGTGGATCCAGGCTCTCTCCTGTCAGCACCACTAACCAACTTTCTGCCAGGTCAATTGCAAAACAGCTGTTCTGTAGAGGCTGGTGGCTCCAGGCTCTCTCCTGTAAGCACCGCTAACCAACTCTCTGCCAGGTCAATAGCTGGCAACAAGGTCTTTCAGATTCTTGGCTATGGCTGAAGCAGTAACCAACATGTTAGTTTCTGTGTTCCTCATATTGCCAGAATGAAATTGCAGTTGCTGACAGATTACAAGTAAACTGTCACTTTCCAGTGAAGAGGAGGTATGCCACATATCGTCCTTCGCAGCCATCACTGACAGGCAAGAAACACAGCTACTGAGACCTTCCCTCATCAGCACCTTGGCATTTAGTAAACTCTCTCAAAAAGTCAGTCATTATTCAAACAGCAACACGAGGAAGGCAAAGGTTGCCAAGAAAAGCTTCAATTAGCTTATTTTCACATTCATGTTTGGTGTTATCCTTTAATAAACAAAAAACCCAAACCACCTGAAGCCATCAAGGAATATAAGGTTATCTAACAAGTTGACCCCGTTTGCTGCTGTTGTAATGGGCAGCTATTTTTACCATGCACTTTCCTTATCTCCCTTTTGCAGCCATTAATGCTCAATCAAATCAACTGAGCTGAAATTACTTTCAACCTGATATGGTAATAATTACATGAATGACATTTCAGGCCTCGTTTGAAACCTGGAGGCTGAGGTGGGAGGTAGAAATGCATCAGATTTCCTATTCATTTTCATTGTTTTCATTTTTTGTCCCCATCTCTTATTCCTGATAGCTTGTAAAGATCTTTTCTTGTTACACTGCTATGGGTTCCCATTACCAAACTGGATCAGCAACTAATTTGTTCCTTCTTTATTTAGCATTTTGAGATGGGGTGTTTTGAATTCTTATTGTAAATAATACAGAAGTCATTACAGTCTCAAAACCAATGTGCTGCTGTTTTTTCTCATGCTTTAATTTAGCTGTCTGAAACTCTCACTCTTCTCTCTCCACTGTAATTGTGAGAATGACAGACGTTCCAGTGAGATTTCCTGAAGTAGGCATTTGGCCAACATTCGAGTCTAGTCTTTAGTTACAGATTAATGGTTTATTAATAGTGTTTATTTAGAATTGCCAGTCACTATGGCTGTAGGAATTAAATAAATTAGAGTCGTGCAGCTTTTGTCTCCAAAATAAAATCAAATGTCTTTATTGCTTGACAGACGTAAATTCTCTGAGAAGGATTTTATTCTGACCCAAGCATTATGTAGCTAGTCCAGTTACAAGTGAAAACATTATGTTACTGATGCCACTTAAAAATTGACTTTGTTGCTGCTAAAGAATGCTAAAGGAATGAAATATCTCAAAATAGTGTTATTTGTATTAGATAATCCTGATTATAATGAGCATCAGTCATTGGCTAAGAAATCACTGCATATATCCATGATTTACTGCTGAGGTATTACAGGAGACATGACAGAAAGAGGAGTCAAACAAAATTTACTGTATTATATATCAGAGTGTGCATTTTGTAATTAGTGATGTATTGTGATTTGTGCTGGATATTTATGCTGGACCACTTCTGTTGAAGGTCGTTTTTAGAGCCATATTCACTGTCCATCTGCACAACTTGTGTTCAATTACATCTATGTTTCATATATATCTGTATATGTAGCATACAGATATGTTTTCTGGCTCCCATATAATTATGTCATTTTTATTAGGAACACTTGTTTTTGTTTGTATCCCAACAAGACAGAAGATCATATTTCTTTTTAAAGATTACTTAAAAAACCCACTGGCAATAACAAAGTAGTAAAGTCTCCTACTTTTTTAAACTTTTCATAAGAACAGAACTACATCCTTTTAATTTACATAATTGCTAAATCCTGATTAAGATTTACATTAAGCATTGTTAAAATAACAAAATAATAGTTTAAAAATGAAAAAAATCTGCATTAAAACTTGTATGCTGTATTAAAAGCAGTATGTTAATATTTGCTTTTGAGTAATACAATTTTCACTGCTTCTATCTTCTGTTATTCAGAAAGACAAGCTAATTTTTGGTAAAACAAATAAATTAGTTTATTGGTAATGAGGTGGTTGGTTGTAGTCCAGATAATCCTGATTTTCTAACAAGTCCATCATTTCAATATTAGAACTTAATTTTTTATGTAAAACAAGAAGACAGATCACGACCTTGTTGTTTGGGTAAGTTCTGGTGAAGAAGCCATAATTTTCCTAGGTGACACTCTTGCACAAATCACAGCATTCCTGGCTTTTCCTGCTCCAGAAATGCAATTTCTTGGGCATCGCCTTCTGTGACAACAGGTTGCCATTTCCCATTTTCTCTCAAGTATTACTGACTTTGTTTCCGAGAACATCTGGAGACAACTGTTTAATTACTCTATTTCTTTTTTTCGTGTACTTTTTTAGAAGGAAGAATTCTGATTTCTTCATTTAGATCTCCAATTAAAAGACATTAAAGTAATGGTGCTGATAGGTAAACAGACTTAAGTTCTGTCCCTGTGATATGATATGTTCATTAAAGACGCTCTTTCAGTAACTGCCATCCAAGCATTCTTTAACAGTTCCTAAATCTGGGGTATAGTTATCTCCTAAGGGATTTTAATACTATCATTTTAACATGGGACTTAAAGCAGGTGTAGATGGAAATATTTTTAAAAGCTTCAAAATTAACAAATTTTCATAGGTGGAACAATGGTGTAGGAATGGTTTGTCTAAGCTTGCATTAAAAGCTGTAAGTTACAACCCTTCTCAATGAGCATAGACCCTTGCCCTCAGAGGAAAGCAAGAAATAGGAAGTGTCAGAAGTGTATTGCTTTTTTTTTTGTTTCCTGGCATATAACTCTA